GTTAATTTATTAAAGTACTGGCGAGAAGGAAAAAAAAAGCTATTTTTTAGCAGATCAAACATAAAAAGCAACTGAATACATACTTAGCAGAAAATTACCCGAATATCTCAAAAGATTTACCAAATGTGAATAAATTCAAAAGCTCACACTACCTCGTGATTGCATCTGTAATTTGGTGCAATTCTCCATCCGTAGTGTAATGACGGAAAACTGAGGATAATTATGGCAGCGATTCTCTGAAGTGCCAATACGTTTTGGGATATCATTCAAATGATGCCGCTCTGACTGAAAATATAGTGTCAGACTCGCTGCAGTCTGCTCCAGGAAAATAAATGACAAGAGACGGTTTTAGAAGTAAACAGTGAAATCAACACGTTAATCTCGGAGGTAAAATGTGAAAATGTACACCTTGTGGTGCAAATTAAAAGTGACTGCTGCAATACCAACGAGCTATTTCCTATATTCCTCATCATTTCTCATTGTTATACAAGTAGGAGAGCAGCTGACATAAAGACACGATTTTGTTTTTATATGTAGATTTTGGCTTAAAAATGTATATGAATTTATAAGAGAAAATGCATGTATCAAAATATTTTCTAACCCTTTTTAACCCAAAAAGTTAATATTATGTTATTTTAGACACAATGTCTGTTTTGCTCAATTTTTTCCAACGAAAATATAAAGACAAAGCAGAATTGTTCGTCACCGAGAGACACGCAGTTGCATTTCATTTCTTAATCCACGTTTTGAATGAATTGGGTAAACCATTAGGCACGTTGGATTTGAAGCGGCTCTGCACAGACCAATCAGTTTATGACATCAAAGTACCGCGAGAGCGATTCAAAAGCATAAGGAGTCGTCTCTTGCGGTACTTTGATGTCACACACCGATCGATCTGATGGTGATGATCCGCTTCAAGTAGAACAAGCCTAATGATTCAATGGACAATTCATAAAGAACCATTTACTTCACTCCTGAATGAATCAGCCATTTGAACGAATCAAATGAATGAATGACTCGATGACTTAATCATTAAGCCATGTACCACCACCTACTGGCAGTTTTAGTTTATTATTTAGAGTATCATTTCATTAAAGAAATATTTTCATATTTCCATAGTAATAATAATAATAATAATAATAAATTATTAAAGGTATAGTTCACCCACCCAAAAATGAAGATTCTGTCATCATTTACTCACCCTCATGGTCCAAAAGAGTATATGTTATAAATTTTATTTTGAATCAAACAAAATATTTCTTGCTGAAGCTACTTTTTGAAATGTCTGTTTGATGATTTACACAACAATGACTTTAAATGATCTTTTGGGAGTAATCTCTCAGCCAAATTTGATGTGTGATTCATTTGCAATTAATTCGATTAATTAATCTCCACATCATGTAATTAATTAGATTAAAAGTCTCTTACCAGCCCTAATACTGTAATTAAAATCACTTTGTTCACCACACAACAAACAAGCAAAACAAACAAAAAAACAAGCATGCAACAAAAAAGCAAAAATGTTCACACAACATGACAAACAAACAATCAAAAAAAAGCAAGCAAGCAACAAGTAAAACAAAGCAAAACAACAAAAAAGTAAAAAAGCAAACCGTAATCAATTAAACAAACAAATAAAAAGACAATTTGAAATAAATGTTGACACAACACGACAAACAAATCAAACAAATCAAGTAAGCAAAAAGTAAAACAAAGCAAAAGAATATGCAAAACAACAAAAAGCAATTTGTTTAAGTGAGTTTTGTTGTTGTTGATTGTTTTTTTTGTATAAACAAAAAAATAATAATAAAAACAATTGTGAATAAATGTTATGTTCATGACAAAATCTTGGCTGTCCAGCTAAATTCAACTATACAAGAAAAAATGTCTTTGGTAGAATTATATGTCATGCCAGCTGCCCATATTTACTAATATATCCTATTTTAACATGATTATCAAAAGGTTATATGGCTATTATAGAAAATAAACATGCTTATTTCTTGTGCTGTTGCAATGCAGCAGACGGCACAACTCAATTTAACGCAGAGGCAAATTATCTGTTTAAACTGAATTGGCTGCTCTGTGCTGAGGTGGGTCTGCTGCTGCTGCTGCATTGTGGGAGATGGGAATGGACGATCATATTTCTCTGCAGAGGGGAAGCTCTTGGGGGAAGAGCTTCACTTTCTGCTGTCTAATGCTGCGGTGGATAGCGGCTGTGGAAAGACCTGAATGGGCCGGCCATTACATTAACGTTATGCCACAGAAACCTCAGGGAACTTTGTGATTCCACTTCAGAAAATCACTAACAGGCTTTTATTGCCACCCACCGTCATGCTGTTAAAAGCTACAGCAGGATTTATTGCTTGAGGTGCTTGAAGGACCATAAAGTAGTCGTTTACTGTACAGTGCAATGGTGACACTGAAGCTGTCCTTGTTTTACATTGGTTCAGGTAGATCCATCGCAAATTAAAAGAAGAGTACAAGATGGAGGAGGACGGAGAAGAAGGCCAGATTGATTTTTTCAAAGATGATACCATTGATGAATGAATCGCTTCATTTTCGTGAATGAAACAAGCCTTTTAAAGGACAGCTGGTTCAATATGTCTTAAGTACCAAGTTTTTATTTTCAAAACCATGTTATACTGAACACTAAAAAATTGTTGATTTTTTGTGTGTCCTCTGCTGAATGACAATCAGGTACACGACAGCTTGACACATTAGGAAAAAACAGCAGTGCGAATTTATGCGATTGCTTGTAAAACCATTCTTATGCAATTTGTTGCATGAATTACAGAGCCCCTAAGAGGACATGGTGAAAAAATTACTAGATGCGAGGAAACAGATATTTTAACGCTTCTGCATTCTCTCACAACACATTTGCATTGTCTCGCAAAATATTTGCATTCTCTCGCAAAAGAGTTGCGTTCTCCCTTATTGTTCCCCGAAGAAATGTTGCACTCTCTCGTACAAGTACTGCCTTCTCCTGAGAAACTTCGCGTTTTCTCACAAAAAAACTAGTGTTCTCCCAAAAGTTTTGCATTCCCCCAAGTAATGTTGTGTTGTTGTATGATAATAGTGTTTGGCGTTCTCCCGCAAAAAGTTTTGTTTCTCCAAAAGTACTGCATTACCCCGAGAAACTTTGTTCTCTCACAAAAGTATTGTTCTCCTAAGAAACTTTGCGTTTTCTCGCAAGAATTTATTGCGCTCCCCAAAGTAACTTTGCATTCTCTGACGAAAATAGATAAAAAAATGATACTCACCACTCACCAGACACTCACCACGAAAAAGATACTCACCATTATTGAGCAAAAGTTTTGCATTATCCCAAAATTATTGCATTCCATCGAGAAACTGTTCTCTTACAAAACATTGGCGTTTTCTCTGTCAAAAGTATCGTGTTACCTCAAGAAACATTGCATTCTCTTGCGAAAGTATTACGTTCTCCCAACAAACTTTGTTCTCTCGCAAAATATTTGCATTCTGTCTCAAAAGTATTGCGTTTTCCCAAGAAACGTTGCATTCTCTCACCGAAGTATTGCATTCACCTGAGAAACTTAGCATTTTCTCGCACTCCCTCAAGTAATGTTGCATTCTCTAACGAAACTTTGCATTTTCTCAGAACATTTTTTACAAAAATAGTTCTTCCAAAAGTATTGCATTCTTCCAAGAAATGTTGCGTTCTCTCATCAAAATATTGTTTCCCCAAAAAACTTGGCGTTCTCTCGCAAAAGTTTTGCCTTCCCCCAAGAAACTTTGTTCTCTCACAAACCATTTGCATTTTCTCGCAAAAGTAATATGTTCTCCCATGAAACATTGCATTGTCTTTGATCTCCATTTGAGAAACTTTGATCTCTTCCAAAAGTATTGCGTTCTCCCAAAACTTTACATTCTTTAGCCGGTTTTTTTTTACCCAACAATTTTACTTTAAGTTCAACCAGTCCTTGCATTATTCGCAAAAGTTTGACATCTTGTCTTATTTGCGCAATGTTTATAAATACACACCATACTTCATCAAAATTTTATCAAACAAACAAAATGATTAAATAAACTAACTATTGATTGTTTTTTGCTACCGTCTAAACATTTGAATGATTATTACATATTTACTTATTGCACATTAAAATATTTACAGGTAACTGTGCTCCTATGGTCACAAACACTTATTATATAACTACACCATGATGATTATTAGTAGATTTTCATGGCAAAACAACACAAAAAATACTGGAAATAGCACTGGAATTGTTTAGAATAGCTGTTGAACAATCTGTTATTTTGGACTGAAATAATCAGAATACATTCTTTAGCCGTTTTTTTTTTACCCAACAATTTTACTTTAAGTTCAACCAGTCCTTGCATTATTCGCAAAAGTTTGACATCTTGTCTTATTTGCGCAATGTTTATAAATACACACCATACTTCATCAAAATTTTATCAAACAAACAAAATGATTAAATAAACTAACTATTGATTGTTTTTTGCTACCGTCTAAACATTTGAATGATTATTACATATTTACTTATTGCACATTAAAATATTTACAGGTAACTGTGCTCCTATGGTCACAAACACTTATTATATAACTACACCATGATGATTATTAGTAGATTTTCATGGCAAAACAACACAAAAAATACTGGAAATAGCACTGGAATTGTTTAGAATAGCTGTTGAACAATCTGTTATTTTGGACTGAAATAATCAGAAAAAAAGTCATGTGAAGTCCTACATGGACTACCACACTCATTAAGCTCTGCAGAAGCAGATAAAGAACGTTTTATTTGTGTGAGCTTACATTATACTGGAATATTTTAATTTTAAAAGATCAAATGTTAACTTTGGCAGGATTTCTCAAGTTGTAAGTTGACCAAATCATTTTAACGGTTCATGAGGCAGCAGACACCATATTGCTGTCCATCAGTGGCAGAGTTTGACTCTAGTCATGGTACGATGGAGGGCTGGTTGTGGTTTGCTGAACCTGTGTGGGAAGCTGTACTCACCGCTGTGCTGGCAGCTGCCTGCTTGGACTCCTCCGTCAGGAAAGTTAGCATCTGTTCTACCTTCTGCTCTTCCTCCGTGCTGATGTAGTCCGTATCTACGCAAAACAAACACAACAAATGTCAGACTTTACACACCGTACTGACACATGGTACATGAGGAATTGCTCATTGGTGAGTTTTCCACAATGCAGATGCAAACAGCATGACAAAACATAGACCCGATTTCCAGCGTCAGTGCAGAATGCCATTCTTAGCTGGCAGTAGTCATCCATATGCATCCTTCCTGCGATCCATGCATTTATACAAAATATAAATTAACACATAACATGTTTTGACAGAAAACTCATTTTTTACATTTTAAAATGTCAAAAAAACTAAAAAGCAGCGTTTTTATCCCATGTGTTCAAAAAATGTTCACTATATATTTGCAAGCAACATATAAATCAGTCATAAAGCAGTGACTTTTTAAATGCGCATCTAGGAAAATGTTTCCAATGTAGTTTTTTAGTCTTTTTAAAGAATACGAACATTTATTCACATCAAGAACGTTTTATTCAGTAACATGTTTATTTGCATCAGCGTTTTACATGCAATAACCTAAGATTTGCATAAAAATACACTGAAAATAATTGAACTACATTTATTTTACAAATTTTTTTTTGTGCAATTTATTACATACGTGTGTGTGTAATTATTAATTTATTCTAAAATGCATTTTACTATATATTATCCTTTTTTTTTACTAATTCTCCCATTTATATTAATCAACTTTTAATAAAAAAAAAGTCAAAAATGTATTTTTGTGTCAAAATGTCAAAAAACCTGAGCTCCTGAAATAACATTATAATCAGAACACTATTACAATATAATATTTTATAGCAGTGATGCTTTATATTTTTTTTTATATTTGCATGCAACATATAAACTAGAATTCCAAAGCAATGTGGCATTTTTTTATGGTCATATGTGACCCTGGATCACAAAACCAGTCATAAGGTATATTTGTAGCAATAGCCAACAATACATTGTATGGGTCAAAATGATCCATTTTTCTTTTATGCCAAAATTCATGATATTAAGTAAAGATCATGTTCCATGAAGATATTTTGTAAATTTCCTACTGTAAATACATCAAAACTTAATTTTTGATTAGTAATATGCATTGCTAAGAACTTAATTTGGATAACTTTAAAGGAGATTTTCACAATATTTAGAATGGTTTGCACCCTCAGATTCCAGATATTCAAATAGTTGTATCTCAGCCAAATATTGTCCAATCCTAACAAACCATACATCAATTGAAAGCTTGTTTATTCAGTCTTCGGATGATGTATAGATCTCAATTGCAAAAAATTGACCCTTATGACTGGTTTTGTGGTCCAGGGTCATATATAGGAATTTATTAAATAAATATGTTTCCATTGCAGTTCTGAAGTCTTTTTAGAGAATGATTACCCATTTAAAGCAATTTTAATGCACATTTGTATAATAAAATAATCATTTTATAATAAAAAATATCAGAAATGATGCACTTCACTCTAGGGCTGCACGATAAATCGAAATGGAATCGAAATCGCAATTCGACAGAAGCTGCGATTGTCATGCGTATTTTTCAGTGAAGCACGGTTCTGTGATCAGCAGTAAATCTCCATCCAAAGGCCAGAGGGCGCTCTCGCGCTGAAACTCCAAATACGCCTCGCAGAAGAAACCCAGGAAATGCCTGGGTTAACACGATTATGACAATATATGGTTTATCTGAGTTATTATTATTATAATTTTCATTAAAATAAAGTATATTTATAATGCAATGCCTTTATCACTGCTTAAATACTATGAAATATGTTGCGTGCCTTATTCTGTGTAAGAAGCCACATCATCTCACAGAAGGATTTATTTCAAACACTCGACTGACGTTATGAAGTGAGTTTGGAGTAAAAATATGTTATTAAATGTGGTATTTTCACATGCTTTCAGATGGAGCAGCATTTACTTCACAGAGCCGTAGTTCACTGAGAAGCTATACAAACAGCTGACATTATCGCGAACGATTTCTTCAATTTCATAATCGCACAATAAAATCGCGATTTTTTTGCGTAACTTGTCAGTGAACTACAGCTCTGTGTAGTAAATGCTGCTCCATCTGAAAGCATGTGATGATGATTTACTGCTGATTACAGAACCGGCATTACTAACAAAATGCGCATGACAATCACATTCGATTAACCGTGCAGCCCTACTTCACTCATATGCATGTAAAAGGAGGCAGCAGTTACGACTGCCATTCAAAGTCCCCTTCAGCAGCTATGACTGGCACAATCAAAAAAGATCTATGCCAAAGAAAAGACTTTCTAATTGCATTTATGCTATTTTTCCATCCATCACTCATTGGGTTTAATTGCTGGAGGGGAACAGTGTGAAAGACCCTCCTCCATCACCTTCCACCCATTAGCCAGGCTCATCATAAATGCATCGGGATCAGCTTGATAATTTTAGACTGTCGTTGCGAGCGCCACAGGTCTGTGAGGCTCGTTTTTCCTTCAGCTTTTACTTTCCCAGCAGCAAATTCATGCTCGTCTAGTCTGCAACTGCCAAAATTGGTCCTGACATTGCCAATCATCGCTGCTCCGTCCAATGTTTTGGACTGATGAACAGCGTTGACAGCCGGTGTCTTGATTGCGAGTGGAAGACGAAGTGGAAAAGCACTACGTTACGGCATCTGATGCCACAGTTCTGATGTTAAAATGTAGGTAGAATCACACAGCAGGTGGAAACAAGGTGGCAAGGTTTGGCTGGTTTGCATGCTTCAGTTAACAACTGCTGACAGATGTCACACTTACATGCTTTCTAGCTCTTTCTCTAATGACAGACATTCAAATGAAGCTGTATATTCTGAATATTTTATTATATTATGTTTTATAGTGACCGATTTTTATACAGTTTTTTAATGGTTATAATTTAACAAAAATATTTATATATAATACAATGTCATGTATATATATATATATATATATATATATATATATATATATTGCTAGGCAAAGGTAAGGCTGCTCTCGGAGGGTTCATGAGCGCTGAACGGCCGCTGACGTTCTGGAGCTCACATCTCTGAAAACGTCAAAGCAAGTGTTCAAATAGACGTTATCTTTATTAAAGGGTTAGTTCACCCAAGAAAAAATCCATATTTCAAACGTAATAAACACTTTTCTCTCACTTCCGGTATCTGTCATACGCGGAAGCCGTGCCGGCGGATGACGCAGCACGTCGGCGTTGCGTGATTAGTGACGAATGCGGAG